GCAGTAAGTTTCATGTAAATGTGAAGTTCAAATTAAAAATTACTATATTTACCCAATTATTATTTTTATTAAGTAATTTTTACTTTTTACAAATAATTAAAGATTTGACTGTGCGTCATAATAGCAAAGTGGTATTGTCAAAATCTGATTCAGATTTATTTTTCAAGAAAAAACTTTTAACAAGAATATACATTTATTTTTCTTTTATTTATTTGGTTTTTTTTTTGTTTCATTTTATTTTTCCATCAACCTACTGTTCTACAAAATTTTCATGACCATATAAATATTCGCTACAGAAATATTCAAAGCGCATTATGTTCTGGAAAATATGTATAAGGATTTTATAGTTATGTACCAAATAAGCAAAATGATTCTTTATCGAACTAGTCTGTAATTGGGTTTGTTTTGGTTCCGAAATTAGAATGGTTCAAAAATTTTATTAGAACTGCGCAAAACAAGTTCCGCAGTGACAAAAATAATAAAACTGATTCAGAATTGATTCAAGAAAGTATGAAGCAAAACACTTTTGTTCTCCTTTTTCGCATTTGTCCTTACTATAGCCTTTTATTATTGTGGACAAGAAGCAAACATTATTGTCAATTCTGTGAACTACATAAAAATATTGTTTGCAAAACTATAATTTGCCATTTTTGTTTTGTTCTTAAGATTAACAAAGGGTTGTAAATGTCATATTTCATTGCATATGCATTCTTGTCGATTCTTATACAACACTTTTACTAATATTTTTTGTTCCATTCTTATTTTTACTTATATCTTTTGTTCAATTCTTGTACGTATATTTTTTGTTTACCATGTTTTTTAAAATAGTATATATAAATAATATAAAAATTATTTAATTTCAAATTAGTTATCCCATCATGGATAATGGTAATATGAATACATACGTTTCTGTTGTAAATATAAACTTATTTTTTAAGTTAACAATTTATAATAAAAACACAAAAGTAAAAAAACAGCAATAAAACACAATCTCAAATCTCAAACCTCGAAATAAACAGCTCAAAACATAAACAAATTGAAATAAATCAATAATTGATTGTCAGTTGTCGTTTCATACGCAAAATTCTAAAATAATACCTGCTCCCAAGTAAAAACTGTTTGAACCGTTCCAGAATAGTTCTAAAATATTTTCATGAGTGAATCAAAACACAGAATTTCACGTCACCTCCGGTTCTGAACTGATTCGAAATTAACCAAATCACTGCGCATGTCAGAACGGTTCTTAAATTGGAACCAAAACAAACCTATTGTGAGCCGTGCAAGAGAAGCGAGCAAGGCGAATAACAGGCGAGTTCGATAAAGAAACTTTTATCGTCAACCGTAAATAATTATTTTTAATAAAAAGGAGATATTATAACATCACAATTTAGTATGAGAAAGTAAATAACCAGACAAATAACAGCGAATACAAAACAAAGCAGTTACAGACGGTCATTGCTATGTTGATACATATTAGCGGCAGATAAAGTGTTTGTTTACTTCCGCAAATCGCTATGGTAATGCATGGCTTTATTGACGGTTAGCGATAAAATATATTAATTTCGCCAACAAACTGTTCTAGCGCCACTGTGAAACACCCTGTATATCCTAACAAATGTCGATGTTTTATCCAATAACATCCAATCAAACATCGTTGTAGCGTTATTTCTAACATTCCATGAATATGTGGTTAAATATTTTCGCTGTATTCGGTATGGTTCACGTTTTCGAAGAACGTGACCAAAAAGTATAGTTGTAAAAGCGGATGCATTACCTATTCGTGATGTTCCTAAATATGCCCTGTGCTTAACAGGTTCGTTCGTAAAAAAAAATAATCAAAGAATGTTTGCACGTCATTAAAAAATAGTACCTAATGTATGATACAAGGGCAGAAAAAATATGGTGGAATACTGTTAGTAGTGATGAGGGTATATTGAATTAAATTGGCACAGAACAATGAAGGAGAAAAATACGTAATGTCGACCTCGAATGACCGGGGGGTGATACCAAAGTTTTGCTGGCACCAACCAGTAAAATTTCCAATATATCAGTTTTCGACTGATTCGATTAAAAAAAGGCATTTTACAAGCAAATATGTCCACCAAACCGAGGCGAATACCGTAAATCTTAAAATAAAGATAACGGTAAAACATTAGGCTTGTTTTGGTTCTTTTATGAACTAGTTCAGAATCAGTGAATTACACTCGTTCAGCTCAATTGGTTATTATATTATCGCGACGTGTTCTTAAAAAATTAATTCTTCAGCTGTATTTGAGAACTGGAATCAACAGTTCTGTTTGAACCAAAACAAACCCATTTTAATGCAGAGTATTTTTCATTAAAAAAGACTTCTACTTCTGTTTAAAAAGTTCCATCCGATAATACGCATTACCAAATTGTGATACTAATATAAACTTAAAAATTTGGCAGTAAATACACTTTAGTAAGGTTATCAAATATGTATTACTGGGAGTTGCTTGATACGACTCCAGAATTTTCTTGGCTCAATTGATTGGTTGAGTGTCAGAATTGCCTAACCAACAAAATTTCAAATAAACCGGTCTTCGTTATTAGGCATTCCAAATAAAATGTTTGCCTGATGTATTTGACGGGGTTAATGATATATCTAGCTATATATATTGAAATAAAAATGTAGGTAATAATTTTTTTATTATATTCAAAGGCTGAAATTGGGTTTTAAACCACATTTTTTTGCTAAATCGATTCTGATTAGTTAAGCTCTTGCGGGGCAATTTTCGAGCCAGCTTTGAGTAATCTGTATAACTATATATAGGCATTGACCCTGCCAAAGTCAACAGACGGCCATTTGGATAGGTCGTTGGAATGCCTGATTGTTAATTTAAAATCATTTATGTACTTGCCAAAGTGGCTGAATCCTTAAAATTATTCACATCATGACAAAACTAAATAAACACTTAATTGGCAAGTGATTATTTTTAAATTTTTCTACAGCTTTGATCTCCATTTACTCACTTTTAATCAATAATTGTTGTTTAAGCAACTCTGCCACTAAACCACTCAATTATGGAGGATATAATAATCCTTATTATTCAATTCGAAATCATTTCATTTCAATTTTAAGTGTAATTTTGTTTACTTACAAATGTGTTTATCCACATGAGCTTGTAAAACTAAAACTAAAACAAAGAAGTATTTCTATTCATGAAGCAAGTTATACACATATTCAAAATATACTCTGTTTTTAACTATAAAGTAAGGAATACAATTATTTACGAATATTGAATCAAATAAAGTTATAGATATATTTTGCTAAAAGTAAACCGAATATTTTGCTGTGCAGTTAAATGTTGAGATTATATTATAAAATGCAATGGCTGCTCGCATAATAGCTGTGATTTTATATGTAAATTTCCAACGCAAATCTAAGTATCACGCAATCACGTTTTTAATAGATTTTTTTTGTTGCTTAAGTCATACATATTAAATTAGAAACGCAAGGATATTAAATAAATTTTAGTAATGATATGTACTTACCTTTTTAGCAAAAGCAATTAAACACAACACCAAACTGCCAAGATTAACCTAAACGGGTCATTCGGTAACCTAGAAGTTAAAAATTTTATCTTAGACAATCTGATACTGATAAGTTTATTTCCCGTTGCATAAATAATAGTGTGGCACTTTGGTTAATTTATTGATAAAATATCACATTGTGAAAAAATGACAGATTAGAACTTTAAACTGGTTTAGGAACTGTGTAGACAATATTTAGAATGTATTGATATTCAATACAGAATAACACATTCGAGAAACCAAATTTGTTTCACCTTTACGAATCCTTGGTTTTACAAAAAGTTCTGGGAGGTAGTTCAGAGCCTTCTCAGACTAACAGATCCGCTCTAAAATATGTCAGGTGTCTGAATCAAATAATTGGGAAGTGGTACTAATGTTGGTACGGTATACCAAAGGTTCCCACATGGAGCAGATTTATCTTTTAAGCAAGTGTGACTAGCTATGTTATTGCTTTACAAGCTCTGAATGAACATGTACATAGATCACTTGGTTATTGAAGATGGACACGTTTATGCATAATAATATTTTTGTGAACAATTGTATTGGAAATGAATGTGAAAGGAAAAGAGCAGATTTCTAAGTCCATGTCACAGCAAAGTCGAGTGACCATTCAGAGACTTCAGTCTCTAATGAAGTCTGCTTAATGTGTAACCGTCACACGTATGCATTAAAGATGGTTGAGAAAGAGTAGGTAGGTACAGCTCGCTGTAGTAAATATAGTTCCCCAGAAGAATAATAGCCACAACGGGCATTTATTAGAGGAAATAATTTCAATTTCTCAAAATTGTATTGGAGCCACTGCCACATAATAACCCATCTCAGTGAGATTGTTGTTTTTGGCTTAGTACCATAGATTTATATACCTCAATTTGATCTTGGTGCCTTATGGGCAATCAAATTCGTTTTTGGGAATATAGTGATCGGCAACAATTTGCTTCTAAACGAAAATTCATGCTACATCAATTTAGGTGTTTTTTTTTTACTTTTCTCTTCAATTTAATTAACAAGAGAAAATTTTTATAACAAAATTGACATAATAAGTAATTTCGAAATTAGTACAATTTTCCCAGTAATTTAAAATGTATCTGCACGTGCGGAATCTGGATAATAATTACTCGGAATTCAAGATATGCTAGCTCGAGCGTATAATTAGTTTTTTTGCTAACTTACTGGCATATCTCATCTAACTTACTCCATTTCCCTCTTCCCGTAGGAAGGCGTATATCTTACGTACATAAATATATTTCTAAAGATATCTGTTAAACATGATTCATAATTTAGGTAAAATATAGGAAAATTTGTTCATACCTAAAAATAACTCGAAAACCAGTCACGCCAAGCTGTCTAGAATAGTTCGCCCACCAGTTGGCTGATAAACTCCCTTAGTTTTGCCAATTTATATCACGCGTGTCCCAAATGTAACACAGTTCTTTATATTGTTTCAGACAATGTTCCAAAACTTGGCCAACTATTTGCTGGGCTCTGTACTGAATCAAGACCAAGGAGCAACGGCAGAAGGGGTCGAAAATCTCAGCAACGTAAGATTACGATCCGAAGACAAGGAGGACGACTGGGTGCTGGTCGACAGGGATAGCGAAGGGAACTCCGATACTTGTTCCGTAGAAAGTCTCGACGATGTGGAAGATGAAGCAGACGAAGTACCCCGCACGCGAGTTCTCACGCGAACGAGTTCGACGTCCTCGCTACCCTGCGGCTCCAACATGGAGGAGTCGTGGTTCGTCACCCCGCCTCCTTGTTTCACCTCCGCAGGACCGATACACATGGAGACGTCGCCGCTGGAAAACCTACTCATCGAACATCCCAGCATGAGCGTCTACCACATTCATCCTGGCAGGAGGCATTTCACGGTTACGATTCCCATCAGGTCTTCTTCTTCTGCTTCGCACGTAAGCAACGACGAAGACGAATTAGAAGTCGAAGAAGAGAACGTGGAGGGTCAAGCTGTAGCAATGGTAAACAGGGTACCCCGATTGAATCGCTTGCAAGTTATGCAGCAACAAGAAACACAACGTCACAAGAGCAAACGAGCTCAAAAGGTTAGTACTGCTTATATATTAGAATTAATGGGCCTTAAATGATTTAATATTTTCTTCTATTCCCTCATTTTGGTAGTCTTTGTGTTTCTGTTTCATACATTGTCACTTTGATCAACGTTATTAACTTAGTTGGTTCGTTCAGTTCAATCAGCAGATGATGATTCATTGTATTTCTGCCAATAGGTTAATAATATTCTTGTTTCAAGTCTAGTCTTTGGAAACAGGAGTTATATGCTTTTGAGTTTTCTTCTTCGAACGTTTGGAATCCTTGATTTCGTTATAACTTCACAGTAACAGCATATGTACTAATTTTTTGGTTCATTCGGTTTCAGACTGCTAAAGATCTTCTTTCTTGTTTTCGATATGCCAAATTGGCGGTTTAATATTGATCGTTCAAATTTATAAAAAAAAATGTTAATTATGATTGATATTATTAAAAACAAACACTTTTAAACAGGTTCATCAATCTCCTGTTTAGTTAGTAGCTAAAACGCAACAAAAACAAAAAACCATCAGACAATCAATTCAAATCTAAATTGGTCGACACTTCATTCTTTATGGATTTCATACTGACCTCCGCTACAATTTGAAAAGCAACCTTGGTGTTTTTTATTCATTGCTTAATTATTCATATTTTCGTGTTACCTAATACAGTGAAGAATAAGTAATTACAGAAATCAGAATTCAATTAAGAGTCAATCGAAAACGATAATTCAGTTTATATTTATATCTACAAATACTTCCACAAACCAACATGATATTTGTAGCTGTAGAAATGTCAGGTGCATAGTAAAGTATTTCTTAATGAAAATCTAATTAAAATTCTTGCAGAAATTCACAATGAAAATGTATTGATTATTAGAAATATGTCACTAAGACTACGTTCATTAAATATCAAGCTACCAATGACATTAATAAATCTAAAAGGAAATTATATATTTATAAACTGACATTTATTGACATTACATCTACTCATTAAACTTCTCGGCTAGAAGTTGAATTATTTCATTTAATTAAATCCCTGTGCTTAAGTTTTGTGAAGATTACTGACATTACAGTAAGGTGTTTGAAACAATACTCTTGTGGATGTGTTACTAGTTTGTGAAAGTAACATCGGTGCTACTAATCCCCATTTATCAACTTAATGTTAAAACTGAAATATTCAGTTTCAAGAGACTTAATTAACGAGATTGTTGGCGTAACAGTTATTGTATCAATATACTCTTGATTTCCTGATTTGTCTGAAATCACTATTCACTTTTAAAAAATATGTCAAATTGAATGCTGAACAGTTATTTATTTAATACAATGTCGAACAGCAAATCTAATTATTAAGGATTACAAAAAAGTATATACAGTGAGCACCATAAGTCTTACCCCCCTATCTAACTCGCTACTGGAGTCTTGTTAGGAAAATCGCCGAGACACGTCGATTTTTGATTTCTACAATGTACATTTTTGTATGAATAGTTTACCCTTAATTGGTTGAAAATCTTTGGATCACACCTCATATAAAGATGCATTCAAAATAACATGACGCATGACCCTCGTAATTGTAAAATAAAACTGGTCATCGTATGTAATCGATTATAAATATCTGCTTTATAGCGACGACATTGTATGTTTGCTTTTTTTGTTGCAGGTCCAAATGCAGAAGGCTTGCCAAGCCATCAAGAGGAGTAACCTTGAAAGAAACAATAAGGCTCGTGAAGTAAACAGTCGCAATCGTCGACAAAGGCGGGGAGAACGTTCGCAGGGTGCTACCCGTTCTTACGCCAACAACAATCGCAAGTGCTAAACGCACTTTCGTAACATGATCTCTTTTGCAACGTCTGACGGCAACAATTTCCAGGTTCTATATTGGAAAAATAAAAATCATTCTGGATTTTCATTATGTATCCGTTTCTAAGCAAAGGGAATATTGATTAAAAATCCCTTTTTGATTGTATATATTTTTTTTTGTCGAAGGTCTGGAATGAGACATTATAGTATTAAATTCTCAAAAATAGCACGTGTGATCAATAAATTTTTACCAAAGCACCGTGTTGTGTTCAAATGATTTGAGAAACTTTTAGTTAAGAAATTCGCCCCGCCGTCAAGCGTTGCAAACATTTTTTTTTTTATTAAATTATGATTACGTCTTTCACCTTAATTTAATTTTTATAATGTTGAATCACATCACATAAAGGCTTTGGGTATGGTTTGCCGATTGCTGGGCATTTAGAATCAAAGTGATTAATTTCTGGCCAGTTGGTTGCCTACGTGATGTGATTTTAATTCCTGTAGATATGGATATATTTTTATTAATAATTTTAGTGAGACGACTATATAAAAAAATAATTTATTTTTGTTGATTATTACACCTGGCAATTTATTTTTTATTAATAGGGAATAATTAAAATGATCATGAACGTCTTAAGTGTGAAGTTTAATGTCTTGGGACGTTTTTGATCAACAAAAAAAGTTACTGACAATACATTCTGCGAGATCATATCCCAAAATAGCGCTACCGTGTTGGCCAAATTATGCATATCTATACTGTAAGCTTATATTCAATACCTGGTTAAAAATGTCGATATTTAAAAAAAAAAGTGATATATAAAAAGGTAATCTGGCAAGGCAGTATTGACAAAGGGAAAAACAATAATTTTGTTACATAACAAAATAAATAGAGCTTGATTTACTAATTTAGATTATTCAGAATAGCTTTGATGCTATTCTATAATAGATGTATCTATTATTATGGCTTATAAATAAAAAATAATAAAGTAAAAAAAAAATAATAAATAGGAACACTGGTATTCACCAATTTGTAAATAAATAGTATTAGTTTGTGACCAAAAAAATGTGAAAATTATAAAAAATAATTGTATTTCTTAGTTGTAAACTGGTTTAAAATGATAAGGCTACATATCGCCAACTTATTTCGTATCTTTGGAGACAAATATTATTTCATTTTTGGCATTATTTAAGACGAGAAATACAATCAATCCAAAATACTTTCTCATCTCTAAGGCCGGCGACTGACTGAAGAAATAAGTTTCATAGAACTTGTGACTGAAGCAAATTATGTGAATTTTTGTTTCATATTAACGCACACTGTTAAAACTTGCTTTGAGTGACTAGTTTCGCTTACTATGTGGTCGGATGAAAAGGTACTTTTGTTGTGGGTAAACCGCTCAAATAAATTGAAAGCAAAGATGAAACGACGATTTTGGGTGCATCCAGCCAACATTAATAACTTTCAGTACTAGTTTTGTTGGTATAGAACTGTGGCAACATCCTGAGAAATTTGTGTTGCATTCATTTCCTTTAACGCCTTTTCCCATGCTGCACCAACAACCTCACAACTGTATTCTGGTAGAAGAAATTTATAAAAACATGGATGATTATTCCAGTTTTTACTAACTTAATTTCAAAATTATTATTGTTTTTCGGCATTTTTACACTTTCCAGTACAAAAACTTATGAATAATATAAGAAACATATATTGAAACTCTGCACGTTCTGTTTTATGAAATTTTTATACAAAACAGTTTCAGGAACGCCGGTGTATTCCGTCTCATATGAATGTGCGGATGTATGATAATGGTACAAATTTCCTCTTTCTTGCAACAAGTTTCCTGAAACTTATTTCTCCATTCTGTCACTGATCTTATTTAATTACAACAATTTCTACAACTAAGTTGTTATGGACAGTGGCGTAGCTAGATCTGTCGGCGCCGCTTGGCAAGAGTTACATTGGCGCCTTAATAGTTACTCCTTCCAAATTTCTCCTGTTATATCTTATCCTAGACAATGCCCACAGCCATTTCATTTATTTATAATGAGAATTGGACAATTTGTATGTATTTAGTAAAATTTTGGGTCAAACAGAATTTTTGTAATGAATTTGACATCATAAGATAGTATAGGGTGACCATATGTACAGACTACAGCATTTCGTTGTATTGTACAGCTTTTTTAGTCTGTTCCAAGGGCGGTTCGGAGGGGGCTATGGAGACCACCCCCCCATTTATGTCTTTTATTTAAAAAATATGCTAAAAGGAAAGGGCTAATGGTAACGGAAAATTCGTCCTGGAGCCGCCCTTGGTCTGTCCAGCAAACGTACAGCAAATCGCCATTTTTGAAACATAACAAATAAGACAAAAACGATACATGACTTCTCTGTTTTTGTATTTAACTTTGTAAGAGCTAAAAATTCAAAAACATCCTCTCCTCTCCAAAATTCATCAATGTATTTGTTTTCAGCATTGAGTCAAAAGAAATATGGTCACTCTACGATAGTGAGGTGGGAGGTTAGATACTTTCAATATTTATGTATATTGGTATCTTATTTATTAGGAAAATTGAACGGATATTTTTCAAAAACAAAAAAAACGCAAATTCACAACATACCTTATAAAATGAAAACTAGATTAAAAGTATTTTCGGGGTCAAATTAAGATAACATTTTAAGTAAATATTATGTCATAATAGTATATATATTATATCTCATTCACATTTGAATCGGACTTGACTAATGTAAGAGATTAAATATTGTTGGTTGAAGTAAAATGTCTTATTTTGCATATTAAATGAGGCGATTAAATTAAAAAAAAATATATGTATATTCTAGCTTAAACAAAATCGATAATAAAATAGGATTGGGACGTTGTCTGCGGCGCCTCTTGTGACTCGGCGCCGGGAGGCACTGCTACCCCAGCAGCTACGCCATTGGTTATGGTTTTTAACGAAACTTTTTAAAAATATCAATTTCTTATAATACATTCGAAAAAACAAGGATAATTTATGATTAACTCTTTATTGCCAAAAATGAAGTAATTAATAAACAATCAACGTTAATAAAAGTATTTATAATATTTTTAAAATTGCGTTTTCCTAATATGCCAGTTTGACCAAGACACGGCGCTACTAGGGACAGAGAGGGGGGATAATTTAATTTTAGTGTGAGCTCTCTGTGATGATTATTTGTAAGTTTTGATTCAGTTCTGATTAACCTATAAAAAAACAGTTCATACCATCCACAATTGTCACTGATACAGTACAAATAAATATTTACGTTATTTTGTTTAATAGCATGAAAAGAAAGGTTGGAAAAGGAACACTTTGACAACTTTTATTTTTATGTAAAATCTTGTATATAAAAATCAAAAATGGGCACCAACAAGCTAGCAGTTCAGATTAAAGATGTTTGTACTTAAAAAGTTTTAATAATAACGAAAAACCAACTTTTTTGTTCAACACGTGAATATAAATCAAAAAAATATTTTTACTAATGGCATTTTTTGTTTTATGAGTGTGTAGATGAATAATGGTGCCCGTTATAAATTGCAATATTACAATTTATAATACATATACTCTTTTACTAAGTGATTTATTTTTCATGAAAAAATAAAAAAAATACTTTGTTTCTTTCATAAAAAAATAATCATCAATTTATGTGTATTTATAATTTTAATAATTAGCTATATTATAAATGTGTAATGAAAAGAAAAAAAAAATATATATGTTAGAAGCAAATCATTTAAATTCGAAATATAGAAATGTAAGCTTTTCGATTTTTGAAAAACGTTGATATCTACTAAGTTAGCGGAAGATTTAGTTTTGTCTTTTGTTTTGCAGATTTTTTTATTTATTTATTTTTGTAATACCGAAACATGTTTTATTTTTCAACCGCTGAATTTTTGATTGAATGGTCAAGTGTGTAAGTTTAAAATTTTGTATGGTTTGTGTTAAGCTTGACTAAATGTGAGCAGATATTTCTTGTAAGTTAACAGAATGTAATAGGTATGGAGCACGTGTAGTTGATAGTTTATTTAACGTATGCATAGTGAGTTTAATGAATTATAATGAATGTATTTAGGTATTTACCTACAATTGAGCAGCAATTATGTGAAAAAACCCATCTTTTCTGGTGTTGATTCTTAAAAAGTATGAAAAGAAAATATAAAAAGTTGAAAACAATAAAAACTAATTATGTTAAATTTCGTTTTTCATTTCTACCTACATATCCATCAAATTAATCTGGTTCCAAGTGCAGGGGAGGAAGACTTATTATTCTTTTTCATTGTGGTATAGGGCTACTTACAGATGATTAAATGTACCATTTCACTTAACACAGTGACAGACACGCCCAAAAAGGAGATTTGTAGCTACTTGCAACAATAACTGTGTTATGAGTAACAGAAAAAACTCATTGGTATCAGCGTAATCGGTACAAGTATGTGTATATACGATGTGACTACTATTGCAGTCCTGCTGCACAGAAGTACAGTCACAGTTTATTGCTAAAGAATCGGTTAGCTCACTCGGACCAGTTGGATGTTCCAAAATAACATCCACTCCAGGGATACAAATTCTGGATGCACAGAAGAATGTTGTTTGAATATAGGCGGTTGTCATATATTGTATTGGTTATGATTTGATTCTGTATGCACCAGGGATACAAATCCGAGTTGCGCAGTGTATAAACTGGAACATTGAGATCAAAAGTGCCGATGCAGAGTGAGCGAACTGATTCTTTAGCTATAAACTGTGGTACAGTGACTGTGATAGCAGTTCTTATTAGTAAACAAACAACAATACTAGAAACATAAAACAGATCAACACACTTAAATCATTCATCTTTTAATACTGACCATTAAAAAATCCTTTATTATTCAAATAGACCCGTGGTCCAATTACAGGATAAAATTTAATTTAGCGACAAGTTTTTTATAATAATAATAATAATAATTTAAGGGCGTGCAAACGAAGTTAGAAAACCGAACAAGTCTTAAAAAGAAACAACAAAAAGCTATCCATCAGGTGCTGCCTCTAGATAAGAGACTACCTAACAAGTAACAAATATTTTGCAGTTTCGCATTACCGAGTAAAAAATAATTAAAATTGTGAATTTAATATATTGTAGATCGCAAATCGAAATCTGAAAGTCATAAATATCTGAATTAAGTTGTAGAATAAATTGAAAATTCGGAAAAAAATCTCAAAAATCCTCTTACGAGTTATTAAGACCATCCCCGAACCTCAAAGGTGAAAATAAATACTTGGAGATTTAAAAAAAATCGTGTTGTAGCTGGGAATCGAACCCAGACATCCTTGTATGCTAGACAAGTGCCACTTCCATTAGGCCACCCACGACAGTGACTGTCAAGATTCCTAGACATAAGTTTGATGTGCTAGTTCGGGCCAGGCTCGTCGAAGATTTGAGTACCTCTAAATAATTATTTGGTGTAGCCGCTTTTGACTATTTTTTTTTCTATCAACATTATTGAATCCATAAATATTAACCAATTAGTTCAAGTGGCAAATGCCATATTTTTTACACCTCTAACAAGCAGAAACCGGTTATTAAAACGGAAAGCTCTTCATGCAGTATTTTTATTTTACTGATAATTATTGTAAAATCTGTAAATAAGATATCTACATCAAATTATCCTAATCTTATATATATATATTAGAAAAGATATAGAATACAAAGAAATTGCTGAAATAAGTGAACTAGCTATGGAAGGGAGAGTAGAGTGTTGAACATGTAGATATATTACAGTAAATAAAAGTACTGTACATGCACTGTATATGCCTCCAGGGCAATGTTTGGATATAAAGTTATGCCTCCAGGGCCAGGTTTGGATATAAAGTTATCAGTTACAGAAAATATGTTGAATAAATTTAATATATTGGGTGCCTAGATTAAAATTTCTGTGGACTTTCATATTCATTTTGATCAGTTCACAAGAGAAAAACAGATTTTTGCTTGCTACTCAATACATTTGACATTGTACATACCACTGAGGAACCAACTCGGATATCCAAAAGTTGTGCATTGACAACATACATACCAAATATATGTAAGGAAGTAAATATCAGTAAGAAGATTATGAAAAAAAAAAAAAAGGTTTTACAATACTGAAAACAAAAATGAGTTTATGAGAAGAGTGTCAAATATTAATTGGTTAAATCTTTATAATATTAATCCTACTGATTTTTCTGTAGTATTCTCATTTCATTTCAATAATTTTTCCACTTAAGTCTACAAATTTGAGACAAAAAAGAATAAATTTTATGTAAATCAGGAGGTCAGAGAATGTAAAAATAAATTAGATATTTTATCTAATGTAAATAATATTTTCATAGAGCAGTATAGGATAGTAAAAAGGGAATACAACTTAAGTTAGTAAAAAAATAGATCCATATACTACCATCAATTAATTGAGAACTGAGACAATAATAATAATACCAGTTGGAACATTATAAAAGAGATAAATGGAAAAAATAATTTTTCAAATAAAGACATACGGATTCCTGATAATTCAAATTAGTAGCGGACAAAATTAATGCATTTTTAGTAAAAAATATACATCAGAAGTTAGCAATATCGACAAATTGTATTCCCTTTTCTAGAAACTTAACATTTAAATTAGTGACAATTCTGTCAACTCATTGTCAGTATATTTTTTACACCCACATAGATATTATCTATTATATTCACAGA